ATTCGGCTACAGAAACAATGCGAAGACTGGAGACTTCTGACACGTCGATACATTGTAGGCTCGATATATCTGCACGCGGCATCCCCCCCACACAGAATCGCTCGACTCGCATGCTCAGCTCGACCGACCCATCAACTGGAGCCCGAGGCTCCTAATGTGCGGGGCTTGAACCACCACCTTTCGATGCCCCCTGCTCTCCCCCATCTCCTTCCAGCAAGAAATGCCCAACTGGGCGCGCTCTTTTGTTATCTGTCATCTTGGCGCGGGCGCTGAGCCATGGGCGCCAGGTTCCCTAGGGCGCCCCGTGCGAGGTAGCGCGCGCTTAGATCGGGGTTCGATTCTATGAAACCACCTGGCCATTCGCGGCGTTGCCACAAGCGCACCTCCGTTCGCCGTGTCGTCGCTGTTCCGATATCACCGACAGGTCGCGCGCTACCATCCAGGGCTTGGGCCCGCATTCCCAATGCTGAACGCTGAGCACTTGCAACCTCGGACGCTCGGCAATGTTATCTTCAACGCATTGCCCGCGGCGGTCGGGAAACAAAAAATCGCCCTGACGCGCGCGCTTGCCGCGCGCACCTGGAGCCGCAGGTTGCAAGGCAGCGGTCGATCCTTCCATGTTTTTGATCTGCCACTGCCAAGATGGGCACGCGCAACAACTGTGGCTCGCCGGATACAAGGCTCTAGAAGAGATCGCGTGAAGCACAGCCAGGCCCACTCACCGGCGACGGCGATCGGCGCGGACGGCCCCGGCAGCACCCCCTCCAGCAGCAGCGAAAGCGATGCCCTCCCCCGACGGTCGCCGCGCCACCGGCGCCGAGGGTGAGACGGCGGCGCCGACGGCGGCGCGGCAGCAGGCCTCGGAGCCGCCGAATCCGCCGCGGGGGTCGCGGGCGGGGCCGCGGAGCTGGTTGCGCCAGCGCCGGCGGCCTCCCCGCCGCGCGGCGCCTGGGCGGGGCGCTGCCAGCCGCGGCGGCGCTGCGAAGCCGCGGGGGTCGCGGAGCAGGTCCTGGCGGTCGCTCCTTCATGGTGAATTGCGAGGGCGCCCCGCGCGAGCCGCGACAGCGCGATGCGTTGCGTTGCGCCCGATCGAACGAGTCGGTCCCGCGCGGAGCTCAAGGCTCTGGCATCGAACAGGTCTGCGTTGAATTCGAGGCTCTAAATCGCGAGGCCTTCGGCAACGTTCCGCGCGCCAGCTGTCGACAAGTCGCTTCGAACCAAAAAACTTCGTAAAACTGTCGCAACTGCGGGGGCCGCGCACCCTGGGAGGGCGCGCGGGCAAACATTTTGCAAGTCGCGCCCAGGATCGCGATCGGCCCCCAGTCGCTCGGGCCCTGCGGCGCCCCCGCCCTCGCGCAAAAATCAGACGAGAGACTCGCGCCATTCAGCCGGCGCAGAACAACGCTGCACAACGGCGTTGAATCTGTCGGCCAGATGATGTTAGACATCGTCTCCGCCATGGAAAATCACTTCCAACGTCGCGACTTTTGCGTCGGCAACTTTGCGCCGTCTCGTCGCTGAGACTGCCGTCGACTTCTCTTCGACGGCGACGGCTGGCACCCGGTCGCTCGCGTCAGGCTCGCCCTTGTCGCGGGTCACGATTGGCGCGTGAATCTCCGACAGGCGGTCAGCGCAGCGGCGACAATCTAGCCCCTGTTGCGACGATCTCGCGACGGGGGATCTGCGCGGCGCGCCCGGGCGACGAATATCGCTGGAGCTATCGATCACCTCGACTGTTCTGGTCGTCTGGCGCGAGCGAGACACTTTACGGCTCAACCGCCAAATCCCCTTCGAGATGTCTCGTCTCTCGGCCCGGTCGGTCGCGCATCTCCTCCTTCGCCGAAGGCGCTATAGATGACTGCTCCCGCTGATTTGCTGCCTGGGCAACCCGGGCGGCTGCGACTTTCCTGCGGCCCGGATGGCGACGAGCCCCGGGTCGCCCAGAGTTGCCGGGGCGAGCTCCTGAATGGCAACCTTCGATCGTACTTCGGTGGCGCGCATCCCCCAACCAGCGACTTCGCGTCCGCCGTCGCCTCCGTCGGGCCATCTGCCCAGCAGTCGCTCTAGCTTGAAGGCGCGCTTGCGTCGCCCTGCGATCTCGCCCGAGGTCAAACGTGATTGTCGGCTGTGCGCTCTGGAAAGATGCGCAAATGCTGACCGCCATGCCATCTAGACGGTGGAGTCGCCCAATGCAGCTGCGGAAAATCCACTGGCACTCGAAGAGCTCATCCGCGCGCACGCTGCGAATCGCAAGATCCAGCTCTGCAGCGAAAACTCACGATGTTGCGCTTGCCCTGCCTCTTCCGACATCGGCATTGATGTGGCTGCCCACGTGCAAGCGCGTCTCCCAACGCGTACGTCGCAACGAAGAACCTTGCCCGGAACAACCTTGTAGTCGAGAACTTTGCCGACCCAGCGGGCATGGGTGGGCAGGGGTGCTCCTGCGCGTCGCTGTCCACATAATCTGCTTAACGATCTGCGTCCCCCCTGCAACGGGGCGCCCCCATCTGCGGCCCGAGGTTCGCTAGCGCGGATGCAGTCCCATGCGAATTCTCCACGCTATGCCAAAACCTCGGCCATCTTGCAGTCGCCATTTAAGTGGGCACAATTGCAGAGAACCCAGCTTGACTGAGGACTGGCATCATTGTTCGACCCGGCTGTCTCCCGATGTGTTTGTTTCCCTTCGCCAGCGCCTTTAGCTGGAAGGGTTCCCTCTGCCAGTTTCGTCTGGACTCAAGGCGCAACTTGCCCACGTCCTCGCACGAAAATGCATTCTTCCAGACATGAACGCAACGGCGAATTACTTTTGAATATCATGATAACTTGAAACCAAGATTCAGACATTGCGTCCAACTTTGCACACGCGGATCTGCGGTCGTACGCGCATTCGATCAGCAAGTGCCTGACATCGACATAAACGATTTGTTCACGCGTGCGCCCAGGAAGAGGATCCCGCATCGCCCACACAGTGTTGGAACCATTTTGGATGTTCGCCTCCTTGAGGGTTTTCAATGTGATGCACAGGTCACCTGTTGAAGCGGATCACAAAAAGAGGGAGCCGTTGAAGTCGCCCTCAATGTCATGGTCAACCAGAAATTGCCCCACAAACTGTCAAAGACCAAGTCGAAGGCATCGTCGATATCGCCACAGCCTTTCAGGCCAACGCCGAACGCAGTAAGAGAAAACACGTGTGCTGTTGTTTGCCGGGGTCGTTGTTGGCATAAACGCTGCAATTTTGAAATTCGAGGGCTCGTCCTCCAATGACTTGATGTGACCCCATACGTCTTCGTCGCGTCTGGGACCCAGCGCTGGAGCCCCTCGACTCGATGGGTATTGCATCCTCGATGTTCGTGATGCGGGGTCCGATGTCCTCGACGCGGGTTTCCGCCGATGCCATTCTCGACTCAAACGACCCTCCCTAAGCCGACATCGCGCGCTCCAAGCCAAACGTCGAAATTTGAAGGGGCTGGATATATTGCTTCATGATTTCAGCAATATGAGACAAGGTAGGCTGAGATGTTCCTGGAGAGCGTTCCTCTGCCCAGCGGAGTACCTGGAGCTGCCAGTGTAGATATCTGCGCCTCCACCGGACGTGGCGGAGAGATTAAGCCGTCGCCCTCGTCCATTTCGTGAAGTGGACTGAAAAAGCGTTGCCGGACGTCACGTTCGCCTCGGATCGGCGTTCCTGGTAAGCGGGTGTTCACCGGCATTGGATCAACCCCCAAGCACGCGAGAGGAGAAGAGAGACAAGTAAGCAGAAACTATGAGAAACTGATGCGGTGGATGGGCAAGGAATGTGGGGCAGGTGCAGTACCAGATGCGGTTCAAGCGAGGGCAGGATTTCTGCATACATTGTGAGGACGTCCCGCGCAAGAGCGCGAGTTGGGAGTACATTTCAACGAAGTCTCAGGCGGGAGCTGTTGTTGGGCTCGGGGGCCAGGGGCCCAACTCTGAGACCCAAGATTTTCCCATGCTTTTTCCTTATATAAAGCAGGATGCGAAACCTGGAAAGGGCATTTGAGTTGAAAAATAAAAAGTGCCCCAGAAAAGGATCAACAATAATTACTTTTTAAGTCGTGCGAGCTCAACAAAACCTCAACAACACTATCAACATCATCATCAACACCAACATCCACAGCATCATCAACAACACCACCAACAACAAGTATGTTACTATTGATGCTTATTATCTCATCACGTGCCCCTCGTTCCACGCCGCATTCGTCTTCGGCCATACCCCCATGATATTTTCCTTAACTGCGACGCGCTGTTAGCGCAGCCCCTGATGCAGGGAAGAGGGGGAGGGAAAAGACAACGGGAAGGGAGAAGGATGGATCACGACAGCGCTCAGCAAAAAAAAAGGTGCCTAGGAGCAAAACGACAAACGGCAAAAACCGACGGGCGGGGCGGGGCGGGCGGGCGCAGACGGCGGGGTCGAGCGGGCGCGTCGTTGAAACGTCCTAACGATGGCGCGATTCCAAAATGAGCCGGTCGGGAATCCAAAACGAGAGTGTGATTCCTGAGTGGTGGAGGCGCGGCGTTCCAACACATTGTGAGGACGTCCCGCGCGCAGGCGCGAGTTTGAACAAAGTGCCAGTAAATATCAAGCGGGAGCCGCTGTGGTGGTAAACTGGGGGGTAGCAACCCAGTCATAGCCTCCAAGCATTCACGTGTGCGAAGCAGGGTGCGCACCCAGGGCGGAGCAGATTGAGCAACACCAAAAAAAGCACGGGGCGCATCGGAGGGGGGGGGAGGTCATTATTCATGGAAAATGAAAAATCGGCGGTGGACAAACCTCCCTTTAGAAAACCTCCCCTTAGTGAAAACGGCCTGGGACCGAAACCGACGGACCTGGACCCGCAAAATGACGGCCGCGACGCCCTCTCGCGAAACGTAAACGGCCAATTCCTTCCCTTCTCGGAGGTCTGTCCACCCCCGAAAAAATAGGGATCCAACACCAGCAATCCGAGGAGGGCTCGGCAATCCGCGGCGGGGCTCGCCACAGACGACCACGCGCACCGGGCGCTCCGCCACCCTGGCGCGGTCGCCGCCGTACCTGTGGGCGCCCGGCGTCCCCGAGGCCCCCAGCCCGCTCCTCCTCTGCCCCGCTCGGGCGGGCACCGAAAAGAGGCCCGAATGGGCCCCTTTTCGCAGAAGGCATCTGTACACCACCACCGTGCCAGGCCAAGGCCATCCTGGGCCCCAGATGGCCCTGGCCTGGCACGGTGGTGGTGTATAGATGCCTTCGTCGGACCCTTTTGGAGCCCCCCGTTACCACCTCCCAAGCGCCCTCACGGATCGATCCGGGTCGGGGGCAAAAAACATGCTTCGCGACGTCGGAAGTCCGGGTCCGCCACAGGAAGGCAACGACATCATCGCCCCGACGCGCAAGGGGAGGTGGGGAAAGCACGAGGGAGGGAGTAGAACATAGCATGCAAGAACAAATGATGTACAGCGGGATGTTTTTGCACAGCGGATGCGAAGCAGATGATAACGTATCTACGCGTGAGCGCGATAGGTTGCAACCTGTAACTATATGGGCAGCGGCATCGACAAGCAAGGAAGAGGTGGAACGGGCAGAACTGGTACCGTTCCAGCCGGGTATTCAGAGCGGTCCGCGGTGCCGTGACCCAGAATCCCCACTGCCTCACCACGCGGTGTGGTCACCACATCGTTTGGGGTCCTGAATTGGACGGGCGCTACAATCGGCCCGTATGGTGTGGATGCAAGGGCCTCGGACGCCCATTACGAGGCCGAGCGGGGCGCGGCCAGCGAAGGTGGCCAAGGATGGGCCGAAGGGGCAAGGATGCAAGGGGTGTAGCCTTGGGAAGGTTGCCCATCCTTACTATGCGGGTGGACTGTAGCTTGAGGAGCCACCAGGCTTGAGAGACCGCGCTCCCAAGGACGGCTGCACTTTGCTTTGCCCGCTGCACAAGGGAGCTGCCCCCACAGCCACTGGAGCCGGCCCAGCGCGCGTCGAGAGTGCGCTCTGGCGGGCCCCGGCGGATCCAAGCGCCGAGTGGAGGAGGAGGAGGAGGAGGAAGAGGAGGAGGAGGGGGAGGAGGAGGAGGAGGAGGAGGAGAAGGAGGAGGAGGAGGAGGACGAAACCACCAGCCCATGCATGGTGGCGTCGGCAACGGCGACTCCGCGGACGCCAGGGGCGACAGGTTTGGCCCAAGCGTGGAATCGGCAGGGCGGCAGGGTGCCTGTGGCCCGCGGCAGCCGGTCCGTGGCGCCTGCCCGTGCCGTGGGTTGGCCGGGGAGCGCATGGGCGCTTGAGCCAAGCAGCGCGAGTCCGCTCCAAATGTGCCCACACTTGGGCCAAAATGGCCCACGCTGGTCGCCGACTCCTCAGATCCGCCTCACACAGGCCTCCAAAACACCAAGGTCGACAAGCCAGAGGGGAAGGCCTTGGCAATGCGCTTGTGTGCATGAACGGGTCACTGCACGCTGGGTCCCCTGTGATTGCACATGTGTGAAGGGCCTCACGATCGAACAACACTGAGAGGCCATGCCTGGGCGGCAAGCGGGAGTCCCTGCAAGGGGCGTGGGTGGGGTGGGGCGGAGGCGCTCGGCGGAGGGTCTTCAACTGTCTCCACAGGTTACATTTAGGTCCAGCATGGCCTCCTACAGGCGGATTTTGAATGAAAAATGAAAATTTCCAGTAGTCGAAAAATCGTCCCCAGACTATTTTTTTACTGTTCTTGAATATTCCTCCTGATGAGGGACAAGGCCGACTTAAGGCTACACAGTAGGGGCTGGAAAGAAGGGCCGCGCGTCGAGAGCACGCGAGCCCCGTCAATAAAGCTTTGGGGGAGCAACCGCGGCAAGAACGGACGGATAAGGGGGGGGAAGTCATCCGATGATGAGCTATGGGAGCGCGGGGCGCGTGCTCCCGACGACCAATGCTCCATACTCTGGGTTTCTCGATAAGCGCGGGGGGGATCCCCCCGACGGTGGTCAGCCTCGCCTCGTCGTCGCGCCGCGACGGGGGTCGGAGCGCCTTTGGCGCGCGGTGGCTGCCCGCGACGGGGGTCGATGTGGGGCTGTCGGCGAGGGTGGCGCCCCCCCGACGCTCATTAAGAAAACTCGGAGTAATCAGGCGCCGTCGCCCCAGAATGTGATGCCACATCGGCGGGCAGGCGTGCCAATCACAGTGGCCCATGAACGGGGACCTGTCATACACAAGAGTCTCAGCCTCGTTCACTGGCTGGGTCCACCATTGATGCTACGTATTGTTCGTTCCACTCCCCTTGTGTCCAGAGGTGCCTCTCGGTTACAGCCCGCAGCGAATTCTTCAACAACTCGAACATTATGTAATTCAAGTACACGGGGATGAACGGAAATCTGACCTGACGGAGCGCAAGGACCCTTGAACGTGCCATAAAAGGAAAATCTCCCAACACACTCGTTGATTCACATACTACCGCGAAAACATTGTCACCATGATTACTGCGATTGCAACTACAAGCAGAAACGTCTGACGGTTCAGTCAGTACATCGTGTTTGAGACGCGCATCGAGACCAGCGCGGACTCGAGAGGGCACTGGATGCGATGCTGGACCGCTGTGTTGAAGGCACGATGGCAAGAGGAGAACGGGCCCCCCATCCTCCTCCCTCTCTCATCCGTCGCCTGCTCTTCGTGCACCCGGAATGGGCGTCTCGACGTATGAGAAGAAGTAGGTGTCCGGCTGGCCGTTCCCCTTGACGTGAAACACATGGAAACGGATCCTGGACAAACAATTGGCAGGATCAGCTTTCAAGTGTCTCGCATCCTGAACCCTCGACAAAGTGGGCAACGAAGATGGAGTGGGCGTGCCCTCAGGTCCTTCGCCTGGGCTCTCGAGCCTCATCCCCCCTGACAAGATCAGTTCGGGGCCCCGACCCCAAGTGGCCAAATATGCTTCGGCTTCGCGCGTGCCCCCCTCGGGTTCTGGGCACCTCCCCGCGTGACCGTTTGGGGGCCCAGGAGGGCCCCAAGACGGGCGCAGCCCCAAGAGGCTCCAGTGATGGTCCAAGAGGGCCTCGGGACGCCTCAAGATCCCACCAAGACACCCAAGACGGCGGCCCAAGACGGTCCGAGAGGCGTCCAGGACGCCCTACGAGGCCTCCAATGCAGTGATGTTATGTAGATTGCTGTTTCTTTTGTGGAAAATATGGTGAGGTTCTCGCCTTTTCGGCTTTCCGACGCTCCCAGATGGCACAGAGGGCGCCCAGGATGGCCCCAAGACGGCCCAAGAGGCCTGCAGTAGGGCCCCAAAGCGGCCCAAGAGGGCCCCACGGCCTAAGAGGCCCCCCAGACGGCTCCAGGAGAGGGCCCAGACGGGAGACCCAAGCAAACGCTTCAGGCCCTCGGCCACAAGAGCCCCCAGGACGCCCCAAGAGGCTCCCAAGAGGCCCTCAGGGAGTCCCAAGAGGCCCCCAAGAGGTTCCCGAGAGGCTCCCAAGAGGCTCCCAAGAGGCCAAAAAACTGCTCCCCAGAGACTCCCGAGCACGCCCCTTAAAAAAACGAGAAACATCCATGGGCACTCTGACCCGCAACCCAGGCACGGTGGCGGGATGGGCCGAAGGCCATTCGATCCGCGCCGTCCCCTTGGTGGCTTGCCACAAGAGTGCCTGGCGTGCTACACCCAATACGGGCTGCCTGGGCCCTTTTTCCGAAAGAACCCCCCTCGGGGCTTCGGCCGGCCCAGCGCGCGAGCCACCCGGAAGGCTCTTCCAGAGGTGGCAGAAAACGGTTCTCCAGCTCCAGATGGCTCCAAGATGGCCTCCAAGACGGCCAAGATGGCCTTCAAGTTCGCCCAGGATGGTCCGAGATGTCCTTGACAATGGCCCAAGAGCGTCCAAGATGCCTCCAAGTTTGCCCGAGAAGCCTTCAAGACAGCCCAAGATGGCCTCCAGATGACGGCAGGCCCCAAGACCGCCCACGAGGCCTCCAAGATGGCAACATAACGACTCGGGAGGCCCCCAAGACGGCCCCAAGAGGCCTCGACGACGCACAGGATGGCCTCTAAGACGGCACAAGATGGCCCCAAGATGGCCCAACACGGCCCAAGAGGCCCCCAAAAGGTATCCAAAGCAGCCTAAGAGGCCGCCAAGAGGGCTTCCAGGACAGCCCAAAGAGGCCAAAAGCATATATGTCTTTGGGAACAATTCTAATATGCATTTCTTTTCTGTCTTACGACGGCCCGAGACGACCCAAGAGCCCCCAAAGCTCGCCCCACGATCGCCATGTAGGCCTCCAAGATGGCCCCAGGACGGCCGAAGAGGCCCCCAAGACAGCCCCAAGACAGCCCCAAGACGGCCGAAGAGGCCCCCAAGAGGCCAAAGGAGGCCCCCAAGATGCCTCCAAGAGGCTCCCAGGAAGCTCCCATGAGGCCCCAAGAGTGCCCCCAGTGGCTCCCAACATGCCCTCTCATACTCCCCCGCCTTCTTCTCCTCCTCCTCCTCCTCCTCCTCCTGCTGATCTTCCACGCCATCCTCCCCGAAAGGTTTCCACAACGGCTGAGGGAGCACATGGTCCGATAGCTTGGCAGAGCTCTTGCCACAACGCCCAGCCACATGGGCGATTACATCAGGCAGGGGGTGGCGGTGATTTGCCGTAGGCGTATGCGACATTAGTGCTACTATTAATGATCCTCCTCTTCATCGCATTACTATTCAATATCCTCCTCCTCATCCTCCTTCATCCTCCTCCTTCGATAGCTAGAGCCCACTGGTGCGGCCCTCGATGTCATGTGTATGTCAGGGGGGCACCACCCTAAGCGAAGTGCGCATTCCATCAAGAAGCCAGGAGAGGGCAAACACGGCCTTGCAGCGATGTCGAACATCAACTCCTTATCCTATGGTTTCCCTCCTCCAGTTCCTCCTCCTCTATCTTCAGCTCGATGCGTCATCGGGCCTCCCTGGGACTCACCCCACTTGCCTGCTTCAACTCAGGGCAGCAGGAGAACTCGGAGGTGAGACTATCCCCTCTGCTGTTCACCCCAGGGACAACAACATCTGACGGGAAACTTGTGTTGAGCCGTCCAGGATTCCAAATAAAAACGGGACCGGCCGCCGACCGTGCAACGAGAACAGCTCGCGTGCGTGCGCGCGCTTCCCTGTCCTCCTCCTCCTCCTCCTCCTCCTCTTCCCCCTCCTCCTCCTACTCCTCCTCCTCCTCTTTCCCCTCATCCTCCTCCTCCCCCTCCTCCTCCTCCTCCCCTCCCCCTCCCCCTCCCCCTCCCCCCCTCTCCCCGTCCCCGTCCCCCTCCCCCTCCCCCTCCCCCTCCCCCTCCTCCTCCTCCTCCTCCTCCTCCTCCTCCTCCTCCTCCTCCACCTCCTCCATTCCTTTCTCTCAAAGATTACTCCTCCCAGCCGCACCCCGAGGCCATTTTTTAGGGCGGGCCGGGCGTTTCACCTGAGACTGCCTCACCATTCATGACTCTGAAGCTTTAAAAGTGGCAACAGTTTCACAGATGGAGGGCGGGTTGATTTCAAAATGTGGCTCTCGCCTTCGCGCCGCGCACATTCGTTTCTTATATTTTTTAAATTTGCAAGAGCTTCACGGATGAAGGGCGAGTGGTTTTCAAAATGTGGCTCTCAGCTCAGCGCCGCGCACATTTGTTTCAAAAGTTGCAAGAGCTTCGCGGATTGAAAGCGGGTGGTTTTCGAAATGTGGCTCTCGCGTTTGCGCCGCGCACATTCGTTGTAAAACACTGCAAGAGTTTCACGGATTGAAGGCGGGTGGTTTTCAAGATGTGGCTCTCGCCTTCGCTCCGCGCACATTCGTTGCAAAGATTTGCAAAGAGCTTCACGGATTGAGGGTGGCTCCTTTTCAACATGTGGTTCTCGCCTCAGCGCCGCGCAAATTCGTTTTAAACATTTGCCAGGAATTCACGGATTACAGTGATCATCGTACCAGAAATTACGTGTTGGAAGGATTCAGGATTATGCGGACGCAACAATTATTATGATTCGCTGTGTTGAAGTCCAACAAATGGCGTTCTGGTGCGGTTCTGGATCGTCTAGACGCAGCAGTCAGGTTGATACGTGGCGTTGAAGTCCCGAGAACAATGTTTTGGCACACTTCAGGATCTGCGCACTGTTGTCTTCCAGCGAGGCAGTTTCCTCAATGGAAACGGACCGTTATAGGGGCCTGCGAAGAGGGAGCTTGGAGGGAGTGTAGATTCCAACATCGTTGATGACTCTTGGGTTTCCACTGGTCCTCCTCCTCCTCCTCCTCCTCCTCCTCCTCCTCCTCCTCCTCCCCCTCCCGCCTGCATCTGCCCCTTCCCACCCCCCTGCTGACCCGCCCCCCCACCCCCCCCGCCGCCCTTCGCCCAGCCCCCGCGGCGGCTGGCCGCGGCAGCTTCGCTCGTCCCACGCTCCCGTCCTGCAGCCTGGAGCCCGACCACAAGAACCCTCCCACAAGGAGGAGGAGGAGGAGGAGGAGGATGAGGAGGAGAGGAGGAGGAGGAGGAGGAGGAGAGAGGAGGGAGGAGGAGGAGGAGGAGGAGAGGGAGGAGGAGGAGGAGGAGGAGGGGGAGGGGGAGGAGGGAGAATGAGGGAAGAGGAGAGATGACGGAGGAGGAGGGAGGAGGAGAAAATAACGGCGCATGAGCGAGGTGGGAGGGGTCGGATCGGGTCTGCAGGGTGCACGAGCGCCTGACCAGAAGAAACCTTCCACAGGAAACCAAACCCTGAGATCCCAGGACGCCCACTGTTTTTGCTTCGGTGTGGGAGCGTCACGCTCTCCACAGCAGAACCGTCGAAGCCCAAGAAACTCTGGGCACCTCTGCGTGACGCTAGAAGTCTGCCGCCACCTCCTCCTCCTCCTCCTCCTCCTCCTCCTCCTCCTCCTCCTCCTCCTCCTCCTCTGCGCGGACCTGCCCGATGTCCACCACGTCCACGGGCGGTGAGCAACCGTAGTGATGCCTGCCGTCCCGCTGCCCCGAGGCCACAGCACACCTCGTCTCGTAAGGAGGGGTATGGGGAGAGGAGCAGAGAAGGGGAACAACACCTAATACATCTATATCTATATATATATATATATATATAGATATCTGTATGTGTGCTCAGCCCCCCCCAGCACCCCCCCCCCAGGGCCTGTCATCCTCATCATCATCCCCATCGCATTTCTCCTCATATGGGTACATATACCCAGTCATATCGATAGACGGCCCCCCCACATGATCAGACTTCTGGAGTTCTCTGCACCCTGCATGCTAAATCGGATATTGGAAGCAGGGCAGGGAACCCCAAATCCCGAACCGTCCCAACATCCCAAGCATTGCGGGCGATCCCTCGCTTGCCTGGGCTGCCTCGCATAACTTGTCCGAAGGCCTGAGGTCCCAGCGGACGGGCCAACAGGGCCCCACTAAGTGCCCAAGAGGGCACAATCCGCCGACCCTGCGTCGGCGTGTGGAAGAGACTTTTCGGTCTTTCTATGTTCTCTCTGAGGCTGTCCTGTCTGCGACGCCTCCCAGGAATCCCGCGAATCCACAAAATTCCAGGACGTCGCGAAAAAGCCCCTTCCCTTTCATCCCTTCCCCGCCTGGGAGGGGGATCCGGGGAAGTCCCGGGGATGTCCCGGGTCAGATACGACGCCTCTCCCGGGAATCCCGCGGCTCCACGGAATTCCAGAATGACGTTGAGGGAAGCCCCTTCCCTCCTTTCAGCCCTTCCCCGCCGGGGGCGGGGGGGCCCGCGGGGAAGTCCCGGGGAAGTCCTGGGGAAGTCCTGGGGATGTCCTGGGGCACTCCCGGGTCAGATACGACGCCTCTCCTGGGAATCCCATAAGAATTCCAGAAAGACGTCGAGGCAACCCCTTCCCTTTCATCCCTTGCCCGCCGACGGGGGGGGGGCCCGGGAAATCCTGAGAAATCCCGGGGGAAGTCCCAGGGAAGTCCCAGGTCAAATGCGACGCCTCTCTCGGGAATCCCGCGGTTCCACAAAATTCTAGAAAAACGTCGAAGCAACCCCTTCCCTTCCATCCCCTCCCGCCGATGCGACGCCTCTCCCGGGAATCCCGCGGTTCCACAACATTCCAGAAAGACGTCGAGGCATCCCCTTCCTTTTCATCCCTTCTTCGCCGGGGGGAGGGGGGGGGGGCGGGCAAATCCCGGGGAAGCCCCAGGATGTCCTTGGGAGGGGGTGGCTGGGCCTGGGTCCGGGAATCCCGCGGCTCCACAAAATTCCAGAACGGCGTCGAGGGAAGCCCCTTGCCTTTCGTCCCTGCCCCGCCAAGGAGGCGGGGGCCTCCCAGGGAAAGTTTCCAAAACGCTCCAAGAGGCCTCCAAGAGGACTTCCAAGACGGCCAAGAGGGGCAAGACACGCCGATTTCCCGTAGGTGTTTGGAAGGTCTTCAGCATTATCGCCTCGCCAGCTTCCCGATGCTCCAAAACAGGCCAAGAGGCTTCCAAGACCGCCCCAAGATGGCTCCAGAGGCCTCCAAGAAAGCTCCACAACGGCATAAGAAGGTCCCAAGACCGCCCAAGAGGCCTCCAAGACAGCCGAGGAGGCCCCCAAGACGGCTTCCAGAGGGAACCCAGCCGGGGGACGACCCGAACGGACATTTCGATCCCTCGGCCTGAAAGGCTCTCAGGAAGTCCACAGAGGCCCCTCGGAAGCCCCCCAAGAGGCCCCAAGAGGCCCCCAAGAGACCCCCAGGAAGCCCCAAGAGGCCCCACGAGGTTCCCAAGCGGCTCCCAAGAGCTTCCCAAGAGGCCCCCAAACTACCCCCACGAGGCCCCCGAGAGCGCTCGTCGTCGTCGTCGTCGTCGTCGTCGTCGTCGTCGTCGTCGTCGTCGTCGTCGTCGTCGTCGTCGTCGGCATTCAGGGTCGGCGGCACCGGCCGTAAGGCCTTCGCAAGAAGCATCTAAGACAGCACGACAGCCCTCCACGACGCCCAAGAAGGACTCAAGAGGCCTTCAAGACGCCCTAGGAGGGCTCCAAGAGGACCCCTAATAGGGCTCCGAGATGCCCAAATCATGTATTGCCAACAGGTGTTTGAAGGATGTCAGTGGTCTCGCCTTGTCTAGCTTTCGACGCTTCAAGACGTCCCAAAAGTCTACCCAAGCCCCCAAGAGGCCCCCGAGAGGCCCCCTACGAAGCCCCAAAACCAGGAGGCCTCCCAAAAGATCCCCACAGGCATCCCAGAGGCCTCTGACCTACAATCCAGGCTCGGTGGCGGGATGGGCCGAAGGCCAATAGATTAGGTATACACCGCCATCGTGCGACAAGCAGATAGTGAGACCGATTCGTATAACGATCGCAGGATCGATGGATGTACAGTGCAACCGACGGGTGGGGAAATCGAGAGATCGATACCCAGACTCTTCGATAGATCGCGAATCCGACCCAGCGCCAGTCGCAAGCCGGAAGCTGCACCCGTCCCCTCCGAACCTCATTATCACCAGAATGGCTGCCCCACAGGTGCACGTCGGTCGGAAGAGGTAGACAAAGACTGAAGGGGCCCACAAACACACACACACACACACACACACACACACACACACACACACACACACACACACACACACACACACACACACACACACACACACACACACACACACACACGCACACGCACACGCACACGCACACGCACACGCACACGCACACGCACACGCACACGCACACGCACACACACACAAATACACACAAATAGAAGGATTTCCCATATTGTTCCATACTTTCTGGGATTTTGTCTTCCCTCCCACTTCCCATATATTCCTGGGAATCGACGATTCAGTGTGTCTGTGTGTTTGCTTCCCTCCTGAAGAACATGAAATACGAAGGCGGATCACGTGGATTGGGTGCAGGCCCTCCCAGAGAATAGCAGAACACAGCAGAAGCATGCCGATTATTGAAATGGGAAGGCGCTTGGTTCAGTGAAAACGAACTCGGGCCCAAACCTGGCGGGCGCAAGCCTGGAAAATGACGGCCGCGGCGCCCTCTCGAGAACCGGAAACGGACCTTTCACTAATCGACGTGTCAGGGTGGGGGCTTGGGATCTGGGAGTCCAACAATGCCTCCCTTCCACGACAAGCGTGTGTGCATCCTGGAGCTGTGTCGATGTCGGCAGCACGAGGCCCCGGCCCAGCCTCCAGGTTCCGACGCACCAGAGCCAGCGTCGAGGCTCTCGGAGCCAAGATCCACCCTCTGGGATACGCCATCCCACCCAGCACCTCCGAAGGCATGGCATGATCGCGTCGTAACAAAAATCGCGACGGGAGGTGTTTCTCAATTTTTGGCCTCCGGGGGCCCTCGCTGGGCCCCAGGACCGTCAAAAAATGACTCAGGATGAAAATCCAGTCTGGGGGAAGGGGTCGGGACTTCTGGGGACCGCGCGTTGAAAAAATCAAGACCTCGCATGCTCGGCGTGTGTCGTCCTCCGACGGCCTCGGTCCGGCATCCAAATTCCGACGTACCAGAGCCAGAATCGAGGCTCTCGGAATCACGATCGACCCTCTGGGATACGCAATCTAACCCAGCACCCCCGAAGGCCCAAGGCATGGCATGCTCGGAGTGCGTCGCCCTCCGACGGCATCGGAGCGCCCCACATGGCTTCGTGTCTTGGGCCTCCCGTTGTGCCCCGCCCCCCCCCACATATATATTTGCCAGTCGGCCTCGCCACGCAGGATGGGGACAGAGATGGAGCAGGAGACTGAGGGGGAGGGAGGGTACAGAAGCTGGTCCACAAGAAACCTTCCACAAGAAACCCAACCCTGAGACCCCAGGACGTCTATTGATGTTTGGTGTGGGCACGTCACGCCTTCCACAGCGAAACCATCGAAACCCAAGAAACCCAGCGCACCCTGGAGGCAAGCAAGGGCTTTCTTGGCATGGGCCCCCACTGTATGGGGAAGCGGAGTCGCAGCAGCTGGAGAAGCGGCACCCCTCAGCGAGGACAAGCAGGAAGAGGACGACCCCCTCGCGAAACCGACGAGCGCACTCGACTCCACAGTCGCTCGCACCTGGGCGATGCCCTCCCCGTTCCCTTCCCCCCCACCATCCCCCCTCACTGACCCCCCTCCCCCATCCCGCTCCCCCTCCCCCCTATTCCCGTCGCATATACGCCCCCCTCAGCAGAAGCATTTTTGATGAATCTCTGCCGCGAACACGTTCATAGCAACCGCCGGCGCTCGGCAATCGCCACCGAGCGCTACTGCTCTTAACAACATGATCAATGAGAATCGGAACAGCTCATGTGCAGCCAAGCATTTTCAGAGTTGCAGTCCTACTCGAGCGCTATTCTCGTATTTTCCAACACTCAGACGATAGCATTCCTCAATATCTAACTGCCAACGATCAAACACACTGAACAGCGGTTCGAAAGATCTGAAATCTGACGCTACCAGTACCTGAATCGCACGACTTCGCGCACCACGCCGCGCGGTCAACTTGGCGCTCCCGCGCAACCCCTGGAGAAAGTCAGCTCACCGGTCCAGGCCGCGAAGCGCGATCACCTTCGCAACCCTGTGCACGAACTAAGAGCTCTGTAGACCCCGTTGGGCTTGACTGGCGACTCGGGGGCGGCCTAGACGGGGGCGTCCAAGAAGGGGGGCGCAAATCATGGCCAGCGGCATGTGCGCGGCCCACGGGGGGGGCCGGGGACGCAACGACATGAGAAGAGGCACCATGGAACCTGGGGAGGTACCATGACCCCCGCCATGATATCCACCCCCCATGGTCATCAACCCCCTCTTGGCCGCCCCCGAATGTCCCCACCTGTTCTTTACTGATGCTCATCCAGCTCCCGTCTCACAGCTACTCGTAAACCGCTTCTGGGTGGGCCAGTGAGGAAACTTGAAGCGTAAAGAATTCACGAAGCAAGAGAGCCGGGGGGGGGCAATTGCTGAATCGGCAGTGTAACCACTGGACGTTCTCTGAAAATACCATACCCGAATACCTAGAGCGTGGGTCTGGAAGACGACCCCCTGCCTGGCCGACGTCCCCCCGCCCTCCTCCCTCTTTCTGCACCCGCAAGTTGTGATGCTTGTTTTGCTCATCAGGGTTGCACGAGAACACTGACCACGGCAAATATCAGGACAGACTGTCTGGATGGCCCCAGAGGACAGATCCGAATCGAGCACTGTGCGCAGGAAGAAGGGACGAGGGGCGGGTCACCACCGCAGCCGTCACAGCACTGCCGCGCCAGCGATGCTGGAGCAACACGAGGGCACTAGTCGAAGTGGGTCAAAGTGTACTCCAGTGCGCGCTTCGCCTGCAGGAGCTCCTGAACCCGGTCCTGCCGCCCTGCCCCCGCGAACGCCGCGGCGAGCGCGTCGCAGGCGCCCGCGTCCGGACTGAAGCCGTTCTCCTGCATGAGCTGGTAGATCTGCTCGGCTCTGTCGTGCTGCTGCCTGCCCTCCTCCACGCAAGCGCTGGCCTGCGCCAAGGAGTTGAGCGTTGCGGCCGTGTTGGGCGTCAGCCCCCGCTCCCGCATCTCGTCGAAGAGGGCCAAGGCCCTCTGCGGCGTGCCCTCCCGCTGGCAGTCCTTGATCATGACCCCGTAGCTCGTCTCGAACAGCGACGTGTAGTCCGAAGGGTCCAGCCTGGCCGACGCGTGGCTAGCGTCCCTCTCGTAGCCGCTCACCAGGGCGTGGTACGTCGCGGTGTTCGGCGTCAGGCCCTGGCTCTGCATCGACTCGAGGATCGCCAGGGCCCTCTCGTTCTGCGATGACCTCGCGAGGGCACGGATCAGGGTATTATAGGTGACCTTGTCGGGCGTGAGCTCTTGGCTCTGCATCACGTCGAAGAAGATCAGAGCGCGTTCTGGTTGATCGCATCGATCGCAGGCGCCGATCAGCGAATTGATGGTGACCACGTTAGGCATCAACCGCATCTCGCGCATGTCCTCGAAGAGGGTCAGGGCCTTGTCTGGTTGGTTGCTCTTCTCGAGAGTGCTGATCAAGACGTTGAAACTAGTGACGTTCGGGCTCAAACCCTGCTCCTTCATCGCCTCAAACAATTCCAGGGCTGTCTCCAAATCTTTGCCGTTCTGGCAAGCGCTCAACAAACCATTATAAGTAACGACATTCGGGACCTGCCTCTGTTCCTGCATCCGCGCGAACAAGTCCAACGACTTCTCGTACTGGCCAGATCTTCCGCACGCGCTGATGAGGGCATTGTAGGCGATGGTATCAGGCATAAAGTTCTCACCTTCCATCTCTATCATCAATCGCAGGGCTTGTTGCCAGAATTTAGACTTGCCACATTCTGCTACCTGCTGGGTGTACCATTTCAAGTTGCCCCGTCGCCCCGTCACCGAACTTGAACTGTGCATTCGCAAGGAGAGATTGCGAATGATCAAAAGCGAAAATAGACGCGAGCTGCACAAACTAATGACGATGACATGGCTCGGCAAACAAGGCTTGAACCATCATGGCTACGGGAGACGGAATGTGGCGGAAGCGGAAGAGGGGCAGGAAGAGGAGGACGATGGTGACGAATAACGATGAGGGAAATGAAGAACAGGACGAGGAGGAGGGAGACGGGAGGACGGAGCGAAGGGAAGGAAACGAACGAACGAACCGCCTCCATCGCGCGGGAGCGCGAGCGCGTCCCCCGGGGGGAGGGGCAGGATGGGCCGCAGGGTGTAGGAAGGGGGAACAGGACATGGAGAGAGGGAGGGGGAGAAGGGGAGGGAAGGGAGAGAAAATTAGGGGAACGACCAATGACATAAACATGATAACTCGGAGGTCCGCGCGATTTCTCGGATCCGAGCTGGGCCCCTGGCGGCGCCTCCGGCGCCGCTCCTGGCGCGCTCCGCGCGCCAGGGAGGGGAGTCCAGCGCAGATTCCAGAAATCCGTGCGGACCTCCGAGTTTGTATGTTCATTTCGTGTTTCGTTCCCCGGAAATGGGATAGGAAGGGAGTGAGGGAGGCACGAAAGGTGTGAGAGGGGGTAGGACGGGGGAGGCGAGGGAGGCTCGACGGGGAGGCGACTGTCGGGTGATGCCACGAGTGCTCCTGGCCCAAGGTGCCCACAGGGTTTCCAGGGAGGCCCACACGGCCTCCAGAGCACCCCTCACTAGGTCCAGAGGGCCCCCAGGGGCTCCAAGATGGATCGAAGAACTGGGGGCTTCGGGCCAGGGATGCCTTCAGCGAGAGGAGGGGGAGGCGAGGAAAGAGGGGGAGGAGGAGGAGGAGGAGGAGGAAGAGGAGGAGGAGGAGGAGGGGGAGGAGGAGAAGGAGGAGAAAGCGAGGAGGCAGAGGAGGAGGAGGAGGAGGAGGAGGAGGAGGAGGAGGAATAGACATAAGACGAGGAGGAGGAGGAGGAGAAGGAGGGAGGAGGAGGAGGAGAGGAGGAGGAGGAGGAGGAAGAGGAAGAGGAGAAGGAGAAGGAGGGAGGAGAAGGAGGAGGAGGAGGCCCCCGAGGCAGGGAGAGCAGGAACGAGAGAGAGAGAGAGAGATGGGGGGGGGACGGGGGAGAGCAGGGAGAAGGAGGTGTGAGGACGATGGGGATGACGACGACGGACCGTGGACCCCCACGACATCAGCCTCGTCCTCGTCGTCCTCGTTGTCCTCGTCGTCGTCGTCGCAAGCTCGAGGTTCAGCGAGAACGGGGGCAAGGGAGGAGAGGGGTCGGAAAGAGGGGGATAGGGAGCAAGAAACGGAGGCGACCAAGCCCAGCATGGCCTCCCTCCCTGACTTTCGCTTCCGACGGCATCGGCATCTCCTACGTGCGGCTATCGACTGCAAGGGGCATCGGCCCGTTGCCAACGATCACGCATAACACGTATCGCAAAGGCGGCTCGCTGGAAACGTTGAAAGAACACTGCACCCATTCGGCCGGCCTTTGCTGACTAAGGCAGGTCGGAGAATTTCAACATGTGATCTGCACAACGGGCGCACAGACGATTCTCAATTACTTCGTACCTGATTTGTAGTCAACTCCCGCTTGATCAGCTATTGGTCCACTTGTTTCACACAGGCTCTTTGCTACACAACTAGTCTACAGATCCGCCGACCACTTCGGGGTACACAAGCCATGGTGGGAGTGCCGACCCAGAATTGCAGACTTGAGGGGGAGAGGGGGGGGCTAATCAGAAGTTTGCCCTGAACTTTGCCCCCTCCCCAAGCACCAGGTTCATCGCTTACGGACCTGATCACACGCTCTGAAACTCCAAACGGCCCGCAGAGGTACCAACATGTTTTCAACAGCGCCCCAGAAGACCTTGGACAGACTGAAGATGGTCTTTTGAGCGCCTCTGGGGACTTCGGAAGCGCTCCACAAGCTCCCGAGAAGGCCCCCCGAGGAAAGAATAGCCGATGCCTTCAAGGTTTTGCGCAGTTCCCCCGTGTCGGGCTTCTCGCAGCCCACGCAGAATGGTCCCAAAAGCGGGTCAAAGGGGCCCAAGATAACCCGAGAGAGCCCCAACACGGCCCAAGAGAACCCCCCAGTATGGCCACAACGATTCTGAGAGGCCTCAGACACACGCCCGAAGCCGTCTCCACGAGATCCCCACGACGCCCCTTGCACGGATCCAGGAGACCTCCACTACGACCCACGAGGGCCTGACAAGACGGCCCAAGACGACCCCTGCCATAAGAGCGACATCAGCGCAGTGGATGATGGCCCCGCTGCCATATTAGCGAGAACTGCGCAGTGGATGATCATTAGCAGTAGCGGCGATCCTTTGCAGCAGTCCGTGTTGCCTCCAGCTGCCGATCGGATGGCAAAAGGCTTGCTGTATCTAAGATTCGTGTTGTCGATGAGCTAAAACGGCCACCCACGGTGGATGAGGAGAGTATGAGTACGGGGAAAACCGGTAGCTTTAGGTAGGTTATGTCCTCCTACAAAAGGAATTTGGAAGGAAAATGCAACATCCACCGACCCCTTGTGGGTCTCTAGGCGTATGAGATTATCCCTCCCCCCCCAGGGACCCCAAACCGGCAATTTGACCCCCCCCGCCCTGGCCGAGCCCGACCCCGGAACGAACGCGCCACGGGGGAGCGGAGGGCTCCAAAACTGGCCAAGAAGGCACCAAAACGCTCACCAGACGGTCCCAGGGTACCGAAGTTGCCAAGACGCCCCAAAAGGCCCCCAAGGTGCCCCCCCAGAGGGTCCCAAGAAACAGAAGTCGTCCCATTCCCTTCGAAACGGAAAACAAGCATGTGTCGCATGCTCGCCTATTCGGTTTTCACAACATCCCAGACGGGCAAAGAAACCTTCAATATCGTCCCCAGACGGCCAGAGGAAGGGGCCCCCAAGAAGGGTCGAAGAGGGTCCAACTCTGAAGGGGCCCACAAACACACACTTGAATACACACAAACAAAATGATTCCCCATATTTTCCTATAGTTTCGGTGTTCCCCCCCCACTTCCCATATTCTATCATTTTTTCTGGGGAATCGACGATGCATGGTGTCTGTGTTTTTCCCCTCCTGACAACTCCAAGACGAAGTCCAGAGGGCACCTGTTCCAGCCCTCGGCCACAAGACGCCCCCAGCCTGCCCCAAAAACACCCCAAGAGGCCCTGAGGGACCCCCAAAAGAAACTCAAAGGCCTCCAATGAGCCCCCAGGAAACGCCCAAGAGGCCCAAAAACTTGGCCCAAGATGCCTCGAGGCGGCCAGATATGGCCTGCAGCAGGCCAAGATGCCACCAAAAGGCCACCGAAGAGCGCCAAGAGGCACGATAACAGCAACAAAGCAACAAGAACGATGTCGAGCGCCGTGTCATGACTCGGACAAGCCTTGTGACATGCAGTCTTGAAGGCGCAATGATTTATATAGGGGTCGGCGGATGTGGCGTAAGCCTATGAAGTAGACAAGCAGATTCGAAAATGATCCAAAATAGTTGAAACATCGTCCCCCGACTATTCTTGACTATTTTGAACTTCCCTCCTGTAGAGGGACATTCCCGACTTAACGGTAGCTGCAAGGAGAGGGGGGGCGCGGCGAGACGACTGGAGGCTGAATCCGTCTGCCAGGAGAAAGCCCCGAGAGATCCCCAGAGGGACCCAAGACGACGCCAAGACGAGGACAACAACGGGGAAGACAACTCGGGCATCTCTGAGCTCCGGCGGCTTCGGAAGACGTCTTCTCCGGGGTGCGCAAGCATGGACTACCGATCCATGGGTTTGGCGCGCGGTCGCCAAATCCATGGATCGGGGGAGGAGCCCTCCCCACAATGTGGACGGCGCCGCCTCGCTGGGCGGCGGAAGTCCGCGGTTGTCCCTGGAAACGGAACTCATCGCTAATCCACGCCCCTCATCCATGTTTACGATCGCCTGAGAGAGGGAGGGAGGGTTGGCGCACCCAGGCAGGAGCCCACCCTCCTCCTTCTCCTCCTCCTCCTCCTCCTCCTCCTCCTCCGTAGCCATTTTAGCTCAAGATGTGCGGTTCCCGCGGGGGCCAAACGGATGCCGCTAGTCCGCGGCAGCTTTCGTTTCGCGCGGCCTGCTCCCTCAGGTTAGGACCATCGCCTGTGCCAGCGCGCGGGCGACTCCTGGCGTTGGCGGGCTCTGGAGGCGCTGCGAGGGCGACAACTAGTGCAAGATGGCTGGCGGCGCGCCGCGGGCCAAGGGTCCTGCGCGGCAGGACTGGACGTGCAAGTCCTGCGTCAGCAAGAGAGGGCGAGCGGTCGTCAGCTGGGGAACGGCGCTCAAGTGTCAGGGCTGCAAGCTGCCCAGGGCCACGTGCTTCGGGGCGAACGTCCCGCTCCCTGCGGCGGCCAAGTCGAAGTCGAAGTCGGGTGCGGCGCCTGGCGGCGGCTGCGGCAAGGCCCCTCCCTGGGCTGGGCCGCCGCCCTCGGTGCATCTGGCCCAGGCGCAGCGCGAGCTTGCGGACCTCAAGAAGCAGCTCAAGGCCAGTGGGCCTGCCAGCGTTGGCGGGCCGCTCGGCAGGGCGCAGGCCATGGAGGCCGACGTCGGCGAGGGCGCTGGTGCTGGCAGCGCGGCGGCGCTCGCCGAGATCCACATGTGCGAGTCGGGCCTGCACGCCATCGAGGATCAGACGGCGGACTGGGCCACGGCGCCGCGGGAGGATATGCGCGCCAGGCTGGAGAAGGCCAAAGCGCGGCTCTTCGCCAGCAAGCCACTCCACGCACGGACGCGCGCCGTCGCCAACAAGGCCAAGCAGTGCGCCGAGCGCCTGGGGAAGGCGGAGGGCAACGAGCGGAAGGCGCAGGAGGCCTTGCGGCGGGCCGTGGTGGTGGTTGAGCGCGCGGAGAAGGTGCATACAGACCTCCTGGAGCAGCGGGTGGTGCTGCAGGCCGAGCTGGCGCAGCCGCAGCAGCAGGCGCCCCAGGCTCCACCGCCGCGGCCTGCGGGCCAGGCCATGGCGCAGGACGTCGTCGGCGGGCTCGGCATCACGGTGGGCGAACTGGAGGCCGTCGTGCTGCAACAGCTCTCGGCCCACCCGAACGAGGAGCAGACAGTGCCAGCGGAAGCGCAGAAGCGCATGGCAGGCGTGCCGGGCGTGCGAATTGCGGAGTTGAGCATGTCCAAGCGGGCGCGGCGCGAGGAGGTTTCCGCCGAGGAGCAGGCCAGCGCCAGCCAGCAGGAGAGGCGCGTGATGGCGCAGAGCGGGAAGGGCAGTCCCAGCCAGCGCCCGAGGCAGCAACGCCTGGAAGCGGCAGCGGCTCAGCCGTTGTGCCGCGCTGGCAGCCTGAGGAGGAGTCGGTGGAGCAGCTCCGGCAGCGGCTGCGGAAGCATAGCCTGGAGCCCGAAGGCGGCGAGGAGCCAGACGCGCGCGCCCGCTGCGCTGCGCTTGCAAGCGGGGGCTTCCAGCCTTACTAGGATCCTGCTTATCCTCAGCACGAGGTTTGGTGCCATGGCGAAGGGCAGCATCTTCGCGGCGAGCGCGACGGCGGGGGGGTCCTTGGCGCCGTGCGTCGAGGGCATCTGCGAGCGGCAGAGGCCGTGGTCCTCCTGGTCCAGGAGCATCACGCCAGGGACCGCGACAGGCTGGCCGCCTTGCAGCAGGCCGTGCTGGACCACGTGCCCGCGGGGCTCTGGGCGCCAGCGGTCCAGGGGCCCCGCGGCGAGGCAGGCGCCCCTGGCGGGGTGGCGGTGCTTGCGCGCTCGCACGTCATAGTCACCAGCCCGCCTTTCCTGGAGAGCCCCGTGCTGCTGGCCGGGCGTCTGGTGGCCGCCCATGTGCATTGGGGAGTGGCGGGCGGGTTTGTCTCCATTTCTGCGTACTTCCACGACAGTGTGGGGTGGAACGCGGACAACCAGCACGTGGCGGCCGTTCTCATGAAGTACCTGTCCAAGCTCAGCGCGGCTGGGATCGACTGGGTCGTGGGCGGTGACTTCGCCAAGGAGCCCGGGAAGTTTCCTGCGCAGCAGCTCCACGGGGTCCGTGGGCCGTGGGCGGCGGCAGAAGATGCCACCTGCAGGCCGCGTGCTGGGGCCTGGTCGGCGCTGGACTACGTCCTCTTCGCAGCCAACCCTGCTCCGAGGCTTTGTAGGCCGCGGGTCGACGAGTACGGCGCGACGAGGCCGCGCCTGCCCGTCGCAATGGAGATGCGCGCGCAGGGCCTTCCGATGCAGGCACGGGTGGTGGGGGGCCCGCGGCCGATCGGCCCTGCGCCGCCCGTGGGCTGCAGCCGCGGCGTCGAGGACTGGCGCAAGCCCCTGGCCCAGGTGCGCGCAGCCGTCAGCCGAGAGCACCTCCCCGAAGCACGGGGCGCCGTGGTGGCTACAGTCGAGCAGGAGCTCCTGGACCGCTACGACGTCGTCGGGCATGACAGGACCAAGTGCGTCGGCAGGTCTGGCGCTCTGGAGACGACCCTCGTCGCTGTTAAGTGGCGACCCCCTCGACGCAGGACCGCGCTTGGTCGCCAGGCCGCGGCGTGCCGCGTGGCGTCGAGGTGGGCTCGGCACCTGATGGGGGTCGGGGAGTACGTCGCCAAAGCGGTCCGCCAACTCCACGGCGCCAGCCTCCTCTGCCTGCTGTTCGAAGCCCAGTTTGACAAGCTGGCGGGGGGGCCTACAAGAGGCGGCGGCGTACCTCGACAAAATCACCGCCAGCCGCGGCGCGCTGGCGCTCCTGCCGCACTGGGTGCAGGGCAGGACTTCTTCGGCCAACGGATGCTGATGTTCGCGCAGGCCGACTTCGCGGGTCAGGCGTCGAGCGTCGTGGAGTACGCTAACGATCACTATGAAGCGGCCCTCGCGGCGACGCGGAAGGAGTGGGCCAAGTGGGCCAACGAGTCATTCTAACACGGAGCTGGCGGCGCCCATCGGTGCTCCAAGGTCAGGGACTTGCAGGGGGTGGTCACTGCCAGGCATAGCCAGCAGCAGGACGCGAGCCCGCACCTGGCGCGCGATCGGGAGATGCAGCCGCGGGCAAAGGTGTGGCGGTCCATGGGCTACCGCAGGCTCACAGGCCTGCGGACCTCGAGGAGTGGGATGCGCTGCCCGAACTCACCGTCGACAAGATGAAGAGGGCTGCGCTCTCATTCCCCACGGGCACGGCGATGGGGCCTGTCAAGATAGGCATGCGTGCCCTGTCTTTCCTGTCCGAGGACGGCATGTATGTTTGGGCGCAGCTCTTCGTGCGCATGGAGAAGTTGGGCGCATGGCCTGAGGCCGCCTGTGGCACGCCATGTGCCGGCTTCCCTCTGGAGGGTGCCGCCTCATCGCGCCCACGCGTTCTCTGGTGCGCTGGTGGTCGAGGGCGCGGGCGGACATCTCCAAAGGGTTGGCTCGCGCAGCATCCCCGGCGTCGACATCTGGGGGCTCGGCGCGAGCAGGTCGTCGTCTGATGCAACGTTCGACCTGAACCTCGAGACCGAGATAGCGGTCGCGTTGGAGGAGCAGGTGGCCACCGTGCCCCTGGACGCCTGGAAGATCTTTGAGACGGTGATCCCCGAGGCCCTGATACAGGGGGCGCGGCTGCATCAGATGCCGCTGCCGCTGGCCTGGCTTGTGGTGGAGCTCTACAGGCAGCCCAGGCGGCTGCAAGCGTTCGGCTCGGCGTCCTACGACGTTGTGTCCTACCGAGGGGTGCTGGCTGGATGCGCGCACGCGCGCGCGCTCGCGTCGGTGCCGATGCACCGCGTGTTGGAGCGGGCGAGCTGCATGGGCGTCACCCCCAGGGCCCTCGTAGACGACGTCGCCCTTCAGTGGGAAAGGACCGCGGGAAGCAACGTCGGCGTCTTGTGGGCCGCGGTCACGCGCTTCCGCGTCTGGCCACGTGACCTCGTCTAGGGGCCTAGTCGCAGAGAGCAGGAAGCACGCGGTATCCCACGGCTTGCAGCGGCTACACTGGGCTCGCAATTTAGGGCATGACCCTGGAGGAGGCTGGATCCAGCGACGGCGGGCCAAGCTGCGGCTGAAGGCGCTGGCGCGGCGGCGCGGGCGCCCGGCAGCGTTGAAGCGTGCTGCTGGCCGCAAGGTCACCGTGCTGCGGCGCACGGGGCTGCTCCCGAGCGCAGGCCACGGCGCGGGCGTCGTGGGCATCTCCGACGATGAGTTCCAACGGCTGCGGGCTGAGGCCAGCCAGCCAGCTGGCGGGGGCGCGGCCGGGCCCGTCGGGCGCGACGATCTACCTGGCCACGCAGCGCAGCGCGAGGTTTGATCCTGTCTACGAGGCGACGGTGGCGCTCGTGGTCAGGTACTCCAGCTGCGTCTGGGGGCAGAGGACATCGTTGGGCAGGCTTCGGCGCGCGTGGGCCTCCATCGCGCAGTGAGGGGCCGACGCGGGGGTCGGCGCGCGGCCCGATTGCCTCGCAGAAGCTCACGCTCTGGAGGATCGGCTGGTACATGTGGTCTAGCCTGGTGCTGGTCACTAGCGAGAAGCAGCACATCAGCCTGCTCACCACCTCGCCGTCGGACCTCAAGGCTTACTTCGTCGAGGGGGTCAGCAGCTGGCAAGGGCGACAGATCCCAAGCCACTTCGGCGGCGCGCGGCCCACGGGGCCGATCTGGATGCGGGCCCTGAGGCTGTGCGCGGGCGGCAAGGGCGCCGCTGTTGCCGAAGGGCCTGCTGCCGCCAGCCTCGGGGTCCACTGGGCAGGCGCGCCGTGGACCAGGCAGGGGCAGCTGGGCGTTAGGGTCGCCCCCGATGGCAGCTGTCTGGCGTGCGGAGCGGAGGCGGACGCCCTTGGTCGCAGGCCGTGCGACTGCGAGGCCCTGCTGCGCGCGCGCCAGGCTAGCCCCCCTGGAGGCAGCGAGCTTGGCACGGCATGTTTCGTTGCGAATAGGTCGTCGGTGGAGCAGGAGCAGGACGCCCCCCCCGACCGACTGCAGCAGAGATGGGCTACTATGCGCGACAAGGGCCTGCAGGCAGGCGGCGCGGGGGTCGCGGACTTCAGCGGATTCGCGCGCGAGGTCGGGCCCCCCGCGCTGCCGCTTCGCGTGCCGCCTGCGGCCGACGAGGCGGAGGTCAGGCCCCGAGGTGACTGGAGCGGCGCGAGCGACGAGCAGCGCGGGAACATTGCGTTCACCGATGGCTCGGGCTTCGCGAACAGCATGCCTGAGCTGAGGCGCTGCGGGTGGTCGCTGGTCCAGCTCGGCTCCAACGGGGCGCCCGTTCGCGCGGCCTTCGGGGCCCTTCCCAGCGCCTGCAGACGGCGGGTCGCGCCGCGCGACGCGCGCTCCTGCAGGTCGACAAGCTCCTGGGGCAGCAGGCGCGACTCGTGGCCGCTGACCTGCTGGCGCTGGCCCAGGAGGCTAGCAGCTGGGGGCCAGAGATGGAGCGAGAGCCAAGCCGGTGCACGCCACGGTGCGGAGGCACCTGCGGCAGCAGCCCTGCCGCCCCGAGGTGTTCTGGATCCCCGCGCGCCAGGACGTCGACGGGCACCTGGCGTCGGGGCTTCGCCCAGCGCTGTACGCGGGCAACCTGTGGGCGGACTGGTGCGCCGAGCAGGGGACTTTGCAGCGCGCGGTGCCCCAGGTGCACGCGGAGCTCTACGCCATCGAGGCGCAGTGCTTCACGCAGGTGGCGGACTACATCGGATGGGCCATGCAGCGCTGCCTGGACATCGGCGACTGAGCATCCGAGGCGCGCTACGTGCCCGCGGCGCCGCCGCCGCCCGTGCCGAAGCTGACGGTGGTGGAGCACCCCCTGGCGCGCGTGCGGGGCAGGCGCGGAATGTCGCGCGCCGAGAGCGGGCGTCGACCCCGTGCTGAGACAGGCGCGGCGGCGCAGCAGTTTGTCAGGTCGAGCTGTTTGCCGGCACCGCTGGCGCGCCTCACGGAGGCGGCTGATGCGCCGCATCTCGGCGCGGGGCCATACTGGATGGGCGACGCTGAGGGCCTGGGTGCTGAGGCGCGGCAGCGGTGCGACGGTGGCAGGCCCTGCAAGCTGGCGCAGAGGCCGAACCCATGTTTTCGGGAGGGGGACGGCGGTGGCGCGGCGCTGCATCTCGGGCACCGGCTGCGGCGCGCGGGGCCCGCCATCTTCCGCGAGGTCTGCGTTGCGTGGATGTAGGCCCGAGCGGCGATGGGGGCTGCAGAAGGCGTGCTGCGGGCTGCCCACGGACAAGGGGCACCACCAGCGCAGCTACGTCAGCAACCTGGCAGCCAGGAGGGACAAGTTGCTGCGTGGTCTGGACCCCGAAACGGGCAGGTCATGGGCTACGGGCACGCTGGTGCACGACGAGCGCAGTCCGGGCGACGACAGCTTCGAGGAGGGCACCGATGAGGCGGTCGTGGCACATGGCTGTGCGGAGGCCCCGCTGGCGGTCGTGCTGGGGACCGCGACGCGCGGGTCTCCCGCAGCGCCGTGCGGCGGGCGCACAAAAGAGGCCCAGAAAGCGGGTGTGCAGGAGACCGCGACACGCGGGGCTCCCGCAGAGCTGCGAGGCGGGCGCACGGAAGAGGCCCCGCTGGCGGACGTGAAGGGGACCGCGACACGCGGGGCTCCTGTACCGCCGAGGGGCGGGCGCACGGAGGCTGGCCGCCGGCTTGCGGAGGTTCCGGCGCGCCGCAGCGCTTGCGCGGCGCCAGCGCCGTCCTGACAGGAACGGCTGGAAGTGCTGCGGCGGCGCGTTGCGACTCGCGAGGCTGGCCTGGCGGGCGCTGCCGCTGGTGGGGCTGGCAGTGCTCCCACGGCGCAGGTCGTGGAGGCGTTGACCGACACGGGGTGCGCTGTTGGTGACCGCGCCGGATCATGGGCAGTGCGAAGACAGGCACTGCTGCGGCGGCTCCAGGCGCGGGCCGAGCGGCTCTGCGGCGGCGCTGGCGCGGCCCCCAGGGAGGCGCCTGCGGGCTTTGCCGCGCGGCTGCGGCGGCGCGGCATCCGCGTGGCGCAGCCGCCGCCCAGAGCGGCCCTGCCGCAACGGCCGCCGCGGCCGCTGGCCCTGGAGCGCAGGCTGGACCGCTGGGGGCGGTGGTGGATCGAACCGCTGCTCGACGCCGACGGTGCGGCCAACGACTGGCTCGACCACTGCGTCCCGTACGCGGAGGCAATCCTCGCCGAGCCCACGTGGCGGCGTTTCATCAGGGCGATGGGCAGCACGGCTCAGCAGCTGGCGGAGGCGTGGTGCCGCCGCGAATGGCGTCGCGGAGCGAGGCTGCGCAGTGCCTGCGCCAAGTATCGCTCGGGGCTCACGCTGAGCCAGCGGTGCGTCGCGGACAGCACGCGGAGGTACGAGGTGTACTGCCTCCGCAGCTGGCTGGCGGCGCGTGCAGGCCTGCCGCCCACGTTGGGCTGGGCTCGGGCGGTGCGCCGAAGGCCGCGGCCTGGGGCGGCGGCGCCTCGCGAGGGCCAGGGCCGCCTCAGCGCGCAGGCGGCGTCGCAGGAGCACAGCGGCGGCTGTGGCAGCGACACGGGCGAGGGAGGTGCCTGAGCGCGCCCTGTCGCTGCCCCTCTGCGCGCCCAGCGGCGGCGGTGGCGGCGCGTTGCGCTGGCCGCAGGCCACATCCCCCAGGCGCGGCGGCGAGGGTGGCTAGGCGGCGGCCGCCATGTCAGCGGCGCGGTGCACCTCGCGCTGGTCGTGCGGCGCCGCGGTGCAGGCGGTGCCACGGTCGTCGTGTCGTTCGGCCTGGCCTTCGACCTCATCTGAGGTCCCCAGAGGCGCTGTTTGCTAGTCAGACGGGCACCCTCAGGCTCCTGAGCTCCTTAGCTCCTGAGCTCCTGAGCTCCTGAGTTCCTCCTCCTCCTCCTCCCCTTCCTCGTCTTCCTCGTCTTCCTCCTCCTCCTCCTCCTCCTCCTCCTCCTCCTCCTCCTCCTCCTCCTCCTCCTCTGAGAAAGCCTTCTCTGTCTCGATCCATGTTTGCGATCGCCTGATACGGACTTGTCCTCGTCCTGGCCACCTCCGACTTCGGCCCCCGAGCACAGCGCAGGCGGAGAGCGACGCGCGAAGCGTCAGGTCAGGCATGTCCTCCTACAGGCGGATTGTGCAGAAAAGTGAAAGATAGTACAAGAACTCAGAAATCATGGTAAATATGGGACAAAACGGGCCCAGACTATGTTTGACCACTTCTGAGTTTCCCTCCCGTGGAGGCACATGCCCGAGAGTTAAGCGAAGCACGGGCTGCGCCTGCACAGCCGCGCGGCGTTGGCGGCCGCCTGGCGAACCACGCCGACCTCTGCGCGTGGCGGGCCGCCTTCCTCTCCTCCTCTCTCCTCTCTCCTCTC